AAAAAAGTGTAACTTTTCCAACTACTTGCTATTTGGTTTTTAATCCAATCAGAGCCAAACAGATGCTACTAAATAGTATCATCTGGGGCCCACTTGATACCGTCACCCATTTTGAAAAGAAAAAGTAGTTGTTATCACTTATCATGCCATCATCCAAGTTGAAAAAGAAAGATGAGTACAGAAGTTTTATCATGTAAGTAGTAACTCCATGATCCATATAAATTACATTAATCAAAACAATATAGGTCAGGTCAATCTCTAATAACTCAGGTGGACAAGCTAGAGGCTAAATATCTGTCAACCCAGTTCACATTTTAGAAATAGAATGTGAGAGATATCCACACATTAAATTCCTATTGAGATTAATGTATGTAAATAAGAGTGTCTCCACAAGCAAGCATTTCCGCATATTGTTTCAAACCTAGTTTTTCATAAGAAAACCAAGAATATTGAGATAGATTGTCACTTTATTAGAGAAAAGATTTTACCAAAAGATATTGTTACTTGATTCGTCAATTCTATTTATCAATTGGCAGATATCTTCACTAATTCCTTAAGGGGCTTCATATCAATTATGTATATAACAAGTTATCAATTATATGATATGCTCTAGCTTGAAGGAGAATGCTGAGATTAATGTATGTAAATAAGGCAACTACATAGATAACGTGATCATAGATAGCATGATTTTAGATAACAAAATATCATGTAATTATAATGCAATATTATTTAATTATGACAGATTATTATAAATAGATGGCTCTACTATGTACTAACACACAGATTTATCATATGCCTTCTCATTTTTCTCTTTCTCAATAATCCCCAAAGCAAATATCATCATACTAAGTAACCAAATTTAATTCATCCAGAAATGATAAAAATAAAACATTGTTGTACTTGCCTCGTTAGGGCCACCAGGATTGTGACTTGCTGTCAGTATAAATGCACCAGTTGCCTTGGATCCCTGCATAAACACCACAATTTTTCATTTGCTATTTGCTTTAATTCAGGAGGAAAAAATAATGTTTACCTTTTGTAATGCGGCAATGCCATCATGATAAAATATGGACCATGTTTGAGGAAACAAAACATATTCTATGCACAACAGAGAGAAACAAACTTTAGAAAACATTACTCACGTCAGCTCCAACTCTATCACGTATAACAGCAGATACTGCAGGAGTTGAAAGCAATCCATTTTGACCAACCCAAACACGTCTTACTCCATTTGCTGCTGCCATCTTAGTTATAATCTGCAGATTCATTAAAATCATTACTGATGTACAATATGATATTGAAATAAAGAAGACAAACATGTGATGGGTACCAAGAAACGTATATCCTCTCATATGAGAAAGTCATAAGTGAATACATACATAACCAAGGTGTAGTAAGTTAAAAGACACAAGCTGGAAAATAATATTTTGCTTTCCATTTCTTTTTTATTATAATATCTTAACCAGTACATTTTCATTTGTTTTAATTAAAAAGACCTAGTCAATTTCAAGACTGAAATTACAAATTGTACCCAAAAGAGTGAATGAGCACAAGTGGAGCAATCAGATTAGTCAAAATGCCTGCCTAGGTTAGATGCACAGGACAAGATTTTTCAACTTAAACCAAAGAAGCTCAATTTCAAAGTGACAGCATCAAAGAAATTTATTAAGGCATCATCAAAACAGTGCAAATGAGAAGTTTTCCAAAGAAATGATATAAATGTGCCAGCACTTATAACATAATTGATAATCAAATGCTTTAGAGACCAAGAAAACTACATCAAAAAGCAAGAAAAGCGGGCCGTGAAAAGGTACCTGAATAGCATCCTTTGAAAAATAACGACCATCACCAGATACAACAAGAGTTGCACCTACAAGAATGGAAGGAACACAGCTCTAACAATCCCACAGTAAAATCGAAATATGTAAAGGAAAACAGTTTCTGAAAAAACAGAAGAGGTTCCAAATTTATCTTGAAAGATGGGATATGATGAATGCCTATCTATTTTTGTTATGAGAAAAAAAAAGGCATATCATTTTCTGGCACAGTAAAGCACAGATGATATTTCATATTTCGTCACTTGGAGTTGGAAGCAAAATAAGACACGAATGCCTCCTACCTCTAACTTTTTCCTCAGTTAATGCATTGAATGTTGACTGAACAAAGTTATGTAGGTAATTAGGTTGCACGAATACTTTAACCTGAAAAGATCCAGCCAACGAACTATTAGATAGTACAGGTAATGCGCAATGAAGGAGAATGTGAAACAGATCTTGCAACAGAACATTTGATTCAAACTACAATGTAATTCCAAACAACTAAACAATTTCGTTGATCGTAAATTGCTTAAAACGAATTTGCTCTGATCCAATCGCGATTCATATAAAACACAATGCATAGACATCATATGAAGCTCGATCGATCCAAAACAGATCGGATTCAGGGGATCTCATTTGAAGACGCGATCCAGTAACATAATTCTCAGAAGAAGTAGAAAGATGGAAGAATCTATCCAACGTGGAAAACAAAAGTATGAAAATATTGAGGAAACGATGAAATCAAGAGAAAGAAGTAAAGCAGAAACGCAAACCTTCTTGCGGAGACCAGAGGTTCCAGGCTTCTGGCCATCGAAGGGAGTGGTGTCTATGCGTGAAACTGTGAAGAGCACCATGGCTACCTGAGCAAAGCAAATTCAGATTTCAGAGAAAGTGTGTGTGTAAGAAAGATGCGATGTGTATTTATAGGTGGGAAGAAAAGCGAGGGGCGAAGGGAACAAGGAGAGTACCTGAAGGAGTGTTTCTGTTTGCAGAAGATGAATGCTTATTGGGATGACATTTGTGCGACGGGGAATTTAATGGGCGTGTCTTCGCTGGTTTTGGAATTTCGGACCGCTTCGTTTTATTTCGTATCCACCCATTGAAAGGAAAGTTTTAATCAAACTAAGTCTTATAAATACCCTTTTGATTTAAGAATTACATTCAGTATACATTATAAATTATAATAAAAATATATTAATAATTTTTTTAATTTCGTATTTAACATTTTAAGGACGCTAATTAATATTTATTTTTCTATTGTCTTGTTAACAATTTCTTTTAAAGAAAATGTCATCTTATAAAATGTTTTAATTGATTATAAAATAAATATTAGTATCATGCACTTTCTATGTAATAATAATTTTTTTTAATTTTATTATTTTAGTCAATAAATATCTTCCATGTCTTAAAATATTATTATTTGTTTTTTTTATTATTATTATGAAGCGAAAGTGAAGTATATAGAAGATTTTATTTAATAGTAGAAAAAATTAAAGAGTTGTGTTAATATTTTTCAAACTAATTATTTTTTTTAGTGATTAATTGGGGTAATACTCTCTAAATATAAAGAAGTTTCTTTGTATAGTGTCTATAAGGTGTTAAATAAGAGATTTTTAATAGGAAAAATTATAATTTATTACTTTAATTTTGGGAGACGCCAATTTAATTATTGACATTTAAAAAAAATTATTTTAAACATTTTAAAAAGCGTAAAATAATTGTTTGTTAATTAATTACTTATAAATCTAATCCCTACAATATTTCATTTAGTTTTGGTAATATTCTAACCTCAAAAAGGTTTATTCCTATTTATCATGACGTGCCAAACCACGTCAGTTATTCACTTTTCCCCCACTTATGATGCCGATCCATATAATTTAATCGCCAGAATGGACATTAGACAATGAAAGGTACACAGCTATATGTTTTCCTCGGCTGAATGCTCTGTTACATTTTTTTAATAAAAATTCAAGAGTATATAGTAAGCCATGTTTTATAATGATAGCCCATTGATCAAATTGAAACAACAAACCCAACAATTACACTATCAGAATCAATAGAACTCAATTTAAAAATTGATCAAATTGGAAAAACAAACTCAACAAAGTTCTTGTCATGTACCATTATGAACCGAGTCATCGATCCTGCGACTATATTTTTGCAGTTATTGGTACTCCATCCAAATCAAAATAAGCTCCATAGTCTATTATCCACTAACAACTCTGAATAAGGCTAAAACCATTACGCAACTTCTGAACCAGTTATACAATCACCATAGTTGCAAACCTAATTTTTTTCCTCAGACGTAATTCACCAGAACACGTGCCTTGTCCTTCTCATAATAGTATCATCATTCATCAAATGAGAAAATTTGTCATTTGGAAAGCTGTGTGAAATAAATGAGGTTTTTTAAAGATTTTGATAAAAAGAAATTTATTAAGATGAGACTGTTGATGTCCAAAAATTGTAGTAGCTGATAAAGCGTTCAATCGAATGGGTTGGGCAACAATTGAAACAGAGATCAATTGAGGGGCCTATTAGTCGATGCAGGGGAGTTCAAGTAATGACACCAAATAGAGTACTTTTGAAATGTGTTAAATCAAGATTATGCCTAATGTTTTCATATTAGGCACTTTAATTTCGAATTTCTTCTTTTCTGTTCTCATTTACAATTTTCTTTTCTTAGTTTTATGCCTTTAGCTTTTAATTCTAACTTAATTTCTTCATAGACTCAGTTGAATTCACACTAATATAAATTACTAAACATAAAAGATATTAAAAATAAATTGGCACAATAATGCCATAATTATATTCTTCTAAAAAAGTATTTTATATTTTTTTAATAAATAAAAAATAGTAAGATATTATAAAAGGATTTTATTCTGTATAAAATTTGAAAACAATAAATTAATTTGTATATGAAAGTTCTCCAATATTATTAAATGATAAAAAAAACTTTATCATGCTTAGAATGCACTAAATTAAACTCATAAACTAATGTTACTGAACACAGATTTCTCTAAATAGCACATGTACACATCTGCATGAAAAAGTACAACGTAAGTATGTCATTGCTGCAGAAAGAAAAAAAAAATCGTACATAACATACAGAATATATGGAAGGCACACCAATTAATCCAAGACCTTGAAATGTTGATAGAACACATGCAACTCCTGCAGACTCTAGACACTATTCAGTGATTTTGATGCAGTGGAAGATTCTGTTGTTGATATTGGAGAAGAAGACAGGTCTGGTTTTGGTGGCATTTCCAATTTGTCCAAGCTACCTTCCAACATTTCAATCACTCTAGTTATGGTAGGTCTATGAGAAGGAATTGTCTGAATGCACCAAAGACCCACCATAGTCATTCTCTTTGCTATCTCATTTTCCTCTGTGGACACAACCCCATCAAGTCCCAAACCACTTTCCTGCTCAAGCTTCTTATAAATCACCAAATGTGGGAAATAAATCTCACTCGAGCGACTAGCTTCAACGTTGATGTTCTTCATTCCTCCAACCATTTCTAGAAGCATCATTCCATAGCTATATACATCAGACTTATGAGAAACACCTCCAAAACTTTTATTCCACACTTCAGGAGCTACATACCCAATTGTCCCTCTAGCATTTGACATTGAAATTATGCTCTCATCCCTTGCGCTGAGCTTAGCTAGCCCAAAATCTGATATCTTTGGACGATAAGTTTCATCCAAAAGGATGTTATGTGGTTTAATGTCAAAATGAAGAATCCGAGTGTTGCATCCTTTATGCAAGTATTCAAGCCCTTTAGCTATGCCTATTGCAATCTGGTACAATCTCTCCCAACTCAAGGATTGAGTAGTGGTTTCAGCTTCTTTGTTTTTAATGTACTTTTCAAGCGAACCATTGGACATGAATTCATAGATGAGAGCTTTTCTGCTTCCATCTAGACAAAACCCAAGAAGAGTGACAATGTTAACATGGGATGTTTTGCTTATGCTGGCAACCTCATTGATAAATTCTTCGCCATTGTCTTTTGACTCATTCAGTACCTTCACGGCAACACAGCAGCCATTGAGTATTTTTCCTTTGTATACGGAACCATAACCACCTTCTCCTATTTTAACTTTGAAGGAATCCGTCATCTTCTTGACATCAGAGAAACTATATCTTTTTAGACCCAGAGAACCTTGAGTTTCAAGGAAGGCTTCTATGTCTCTATCATTCCTTTTTCTCTTACTGAATCTTGTTGATATAAACTTCCACACCTTAGCTTTATTTCGGCATATGATGACAGCGATTAGAGGTAGTCCAAATCCAGTGGCTACGAAACCTGTCAGAAGAATTAGGGGTGATTCTGGGGTATAGCAATTGCACATCTTTTTCCATGTGTCGTTTTATCCCCAAACTCCTACTATGTAATTTTTAGCCATTGTGCCATTACCAAACCTTTTAAAGAAAAATACTACATTTTGTCATGTGCCTAGTAGAAATGAAAAGTGAAATGAAGAAAGGATACTCTGACTTCGGTTTTGCAGCTGCAGTTTGATATAAATTTAAGATTATCTTGTGAAAATTATATTTAAGATTTCAAGATATAAACAGATTAACAAATTTGATATTAACTTCACGGGCATGCATTTAATTGATTCTTATTTTCTTAGTAATATATAAGATACAGAAACAAACTGGCCTATATTCGTCCAAATAACACGTGCTTCTAATAAGGAAATAATGATTTAGAAAAATTGTACCTAAAACCAGCTTCAACACTTTGTTCTTCCTTCGATCTGCCACCAAAAAAATACACCGCTGTTAAATTGCTCTCCTTATGAAATTTACATTCAGTATGGAACAAGTATGCCTTAGCCGTACCCAAAAGGAAATAAGTATGATTCATAAACATTTAAATGATATCAAAATATATTTAATACCTTTTGTTATATTATCTATCACATTTATCTTTTCTCTTTTTTCTATTTCGTTTTTTCTTCATGTGTAGACACTACAGAACATTTTTCAAAAGAAATCGATAGTGCATGACGTTCTAGCTGTATTGAACAATGCAAGTATGACTTTCTGAACTTGGTATAAGGGAAAAAAGAAAAACAAAAGTGTAGAATTTGCGATTAAGATGAAAAGAGAAAAAAAAATATAGAAATGATAAAGTGTTTTTTTTATTTATTTGAAAAGAAAAGAAAATCCTAAAAATTGAATTTTTAAAAATAAAAAAATTATCTTCTCATCTTCAATTCAAATAATTTTTTTGCCTCCCAGACTTCCTTTTCCTTGAAACAAACAGAGGGTTTGAATGTCTAGAGGTGATATATTGTTTATTTATCACACATACACACACATAAATTGATTATGGCACCAATTCACGCATACACGACTCAATCAATCTTTTCCAAATTAACTACTAGAAGTTACAAAAGGAGTGTATTTTCATTGGAAATAATGATTAAAAATTATTATTAGAAAAGCAATCATAATTATGTTTACAAATATTGAATCCTAAAAATTAATGACAAAATAGCCACCCATAAGTAAACTAGTTAAAGTCACGTTTCAAATATAATTCCGTGATTGACTCTTGGACGTAATCTGATATCAACCTAAATCTAACTATCACGTGGCCTGCCATTAAATTACGCAGGAAGGTAATGGCAAGTCAAACATTGTTGAAAACAAGAAGAAAACGTTGTGTCAATTAATCAAGCCATTTATTCATCACTTGAAAATAAAGAAACTTAATGTTTTATTATTTATTATTATTATTCGCATGCTTAATGTTGATGTTTACCCAAGCATGCACAGCTGCACAAAATACATGCTTTTAAGAAAAAACGGGGTTCCGATTAGCTGGGACACAGCTTCAGCATCCAGGTCAACAACTTACGATGCTAAAAGACACTAAAAGCTCATGATGTGTGCTATAATTCAACGCATTTTAAGTAACAACCATTGCAGAGGCCATAATTAATTGATTCTTTAATGTGCTTAATAATATATACATTAAAAAAATCATAATATAATATGTATCTCTCTGATCCTGTCTCTGTCTTATGACACACATGGCACATTAATTTATTTTGTATTATATACTCTACACCAAGAAGTCACTATTAACTGGCGAAAAATTAAATTACATTCAAGTATCCATTATTTTCTTTTAAGAATGATTTGGGAGAGGACTTTGGGGAAAAAAAGTGGAGGGTAAGTTTTTTAATTTTAAATTAATAAAATGATACGTTATTTATAATAAAAAATAAATAATATATTAATTTCAATGTTAATTCTTTCTTTTCTTCTAAAACTTTTCTTTCCAAACAATCTCTTAGATTTTAATATTACAATTTAAAAACACAATGTAACAGCTAAAACCACAAGACTTTGCATTCGTTAGGACAATTTTGATGAAGAAATTATATTTGTAAAATAAACTTATATATATATATATATATATATAATATATATATATATATATATATATATATATAAAGATTAAAATAAATCATAGAACTATTATTTTGATTTGCGACACCGAATTCATAGGTTTATATATGCAGATATGGTGGTCTTGTGGGATTAAATACTAAATGAAAAGAGCAACTGAGGATAATTTTAATTAATAAAGCAGACACCTTCGGACTGATTGGCTGAACTACCATTGCATCCTGCAATTTTTCAATTTTTAATCCACTCAATATACCATATCCAAAGGCTAATTCGAAAGCCTTCCTGCTGTGGAATTACTGTGACGATCTAGGGTTGCACTTGTTTTCTATTATTTCCTTAAAGCATAAATTTGATCTGTTTGAGCTGAAATTTTATTTTGACTGAGTTGTTCTCTTATTTAAATTACTAAAAACTATATCATGCGTAGTATTATATTTTATTATTTTTATCTTTTTATATATATGCATTCTGAAAGTACATGTCAGATATAGAAAAAAAGTATTTTTGTATGTCTATTTTCAATGGTACATAAAATGAATTTGTTTTTATTTATAGAATGAGTTAAACATGCGTACAAGACCAAAACAAGAAGGCAGACATCAAATAACAAAAATATATTTAGTAAATATTTGATTTAGTCTTTTAAATCAAAAGTGATTACGGTTTACGGAATTTCTAATTTTATAGAAAAATTATTTAATTCTTAATTTTAAAAAATTAAGTTTTGTAAAATTCAAAACATAATGTCGACTCTTAAAACGAGTATTTACTTAAAATATGTGTTTAGAGGCATAATTGAAAGAAAATGGAGAAGAGAACCGAGAAAAGAGAACAAACTTTTATGAGTAGAGCACACTGAATCGTAAGTTCCACCCGAGCAATAACAGGAAAACTGAGCCGAATCATTCTCATTCCTTCCACATGCTCCTCCAGATTCCTTGCATGCAGTACACTCAGAACTCCACTTTGCATCATACCGCACATCAAACCCTTCATCTAGTGCTTTCTTCAACGCCACAACACCACCCTCAGAGTCCAAAACAGCATCGTGTGAAACTTGCACTTGAATACGAACCCCACAGTTCTGAAGACCCGGAAACTGCTTCACCTGAGTTCCATTCACCACATAGAAAGCATGCTTTTTGCTACCATTCTGGCACGTAAAAGTGTTTCCCACTATTGAATTCTCAGAGGAGCAGTTGTAGAATATAGAGACATTCTGAACGGTGGGGAGAAAACTAAACGGACTAGCATTCAGAGAAGTGTTGGTGAAATTGGAAGAGCAACGATCATAGACAAAGTCTGTTCGCACCATTCTCATGGTAGATGCGTTTTGGTTAATATTTAGTACATGGAACTTTTGGGAACCAACTTGGATCGAAGTGTTTTGGTTCTGCATGCAGGTGATCTTGAACCCATCGATGCCACAAAACTTGGGTCGGTTCCCTCCCCAGAAAGGATAGGAAACGTTTGTGAGAGTACCACAACTGAATGATTGGCTGCAAATAGAGAAGCTGTCGTTTTTCTGAGAGTAGGATTGTGGCAAAGTTGTTAAGAAGAGAACAAGGGTGATTAATACGAGGAAGGAAGAAGGGGTGGTCATGGCTACGTAGCTGGATGAAAAGGTTGAGGTGATCTGAATGGAGAAGAGAGAACTTGATGTGGAAATTGTAGTGAGTGAGAACTTTCTTGTTTTCAAACGAAAGGGAAAAGAACAAGATAAAGCACGCGGAACTATGAACTGTTGTATATTGGATGTTAGTGTGCTTATTTGGCAATTCGATGTAATGAGTATTGTATTTGATCATTTGAAACGAGGGCACTAAAATAATTTTAGTGGAAAACAGAAGTATCTTTTGACTTAATTGAATGGCAAGGTTGATCTTTACTGCGTGACAATTTCTTACAAGATTTTTTCGATTCATACTAGTTGGTGAAGTAAAAGGACATCTGCCAGGCTGACTTGAGAAAGGAGAGCCCGGGGAAATTGCTGTGATAAGAAGGAGTAGTAATTTGGCACGGGGAATAATATATATTTTTTACTCCTAATAAGAGCATCTTAAAAAGTACGTTTGCTAGTATTCCTTTTCGCATTTTATATCCTAGAGCCCCAAGCATTTAGGACTTTTCTGTCATTTTCGTTAATAGTCATCTTTATTTGAGTAAAATAAGATAGACCAGATGTACCAATCAGTGTACAATTGGACTATTACAAAGTGACATGCGAAGTACGAGTTAAGTCCACCAAATGGATATTGGCAAACTAACTAAATGCTCTCTCACTCATCGAGTGCGCCAATTAAAATATCAAGTCATATTTTTGGCATGATAGTAAAAAACTATAGGAGTATGAAAGAAAAAAAGGTATCAAAATTTGAGCTAGAAATCTGCCTCCTTCGGAACATGTTAAAACAGTGAAACACGATTAATATAAAAGGAAAGGTCAGCGAGTAGGAATCCTAACACCGTCAATTGGATCATAACCCTTGAGTACGACGTATCAGTATCATCATATTTAGTAGGATTCAGAACATGTACTATGCTTTAGTATAACTGGATGCCCCTGTTATTTATTCTTCACCTCTGCACAAAAAGTTACGACTTCTATGTAAGGTTATTATTGTGTACTGAAATGGCTACTCTGCTTCATGTTTAGTTAGTTTTAACTTTCTGTTAGTTGTATATTAGTTGGTTATACCATCCTTCTTGTGTAACTTATATATTGTCTTGTACACTGTACTGTTTCCATCATAAAAAATTTTCATTCTTTCTCTCCAAATACCTTTTCCATGTTCTGACACTTCATCCCCATGATTGAGAGATAATCTATAAAGTACTATCTCCAATACCGACACTGAACACACCACGATCACTTCAACATATCTAATGTAAAATATGAAAAACACAAGGACACTTATGAAACATTAATTTTTTAAATTTTTTATATTACATTGTAAGCTATATTTTCTAAATATTTGAAGAAATATAAATATTTTACTTATAACACTAGTGTCTTTGAAATCTTTATCTATATAAATATATTAGTTCAAGTGTTTAAAGGCTTTAAGCCATATAAAACTGTTAGCATAAGCTTCTGAATCGATAAAAAAAAAAAAAAGTAAATATTTAATGCGTCGTGTTTGACACGTGTCATCCAAATGCTGTACAGGTGATGGTGTCAGACAGTGTCTTGACACTCCAACACCTCAAATAAGAGAAATGCCATTGCTTCATACTCAATCAAAGTTACTAGTAGTGCAAATATCCACTTCGGTTATCATAGGAGAAAATACGAAAGGCTTTGGTGGAATTTGGAACTGATCTATGCTTCCTTCTAACATTTCAACCACCCTACTCATTGGAGGCCTATCAGATGGGATTGTTTGTATGCACCACAATCCCACCATAATCATTTTCTTACAAATTTCATTTTCCTCTGTGGTCATACCATCATGCCATGGTAAATTGCTACCCACCTCAATATGCTTGTATATCCAATGAGGAAAATAAGTCTCACTTGAATGACTTGCTTCAATACTAACATTCTGCCTTCCTCCAACCACTTCCAAAATCATCATTCCATAACTATAGACATCAGACTTATGTGACACTCCTCCAAAGTTTCTGTTCCACACTTCTGGAGCAATATACCCAATTGTCCCTCTAGCATCACACAGAGAGATGATACTGTGTGTTTTTGAGCAGAGCTTAGCCAACCCAAAATCCGAGATTTTAGGACAGAAATTTTTATCCAAAAGGATGTTGCTTGGTTTTATGTCAAAATGCAATATCCGAGTGTTGCACCCCTTATGCAAATATTCCAATCCTTTGGCTATACCTTCTGCAATGCGGTGTAATCTTTCCCAACTCAAAGGTGGATTAGTTTCAAAACTCTTGTTGTGTATGAACTTTTCAAGTGATCCATTGGGCATAAATTCGTAGATAAGAGCTTTCTTCTTCCCTTCAAGACAAAAACCAAGGAGCTTGACAATATTTACGTGGGATGTTCTACTTATGCTTATAACTTCATTGATAAATTCTTCCCCGTTCCCCTTTGAAGCTGTCAATACCTTCACGGCCACAAGAGAGTTGTTGTTTAGATTTCCTTTATAGACTTGACCATAACCACCTTGTCCCAGTTTGGATTTGAAAAAGTTGGTCATTTTCTTGATCTCTGAATACGAGTATCTTTTTATGGCTAGAGGCCCATTATTTCTGATGAAGGCCTCAATATCTTTATCAATCTTTCTGGTCGTCCAAATTTTTGACACAAATGGTGATAATTGACGTCTAAAAATGCAAAGTAGGATGCATATCAGCAGTGCCCCAATTCCTCCAGCTACTAAACCTGTAAACACAAGTAGAAGGTGATTCAGATGATTTTCTTCACGCGTCACCTCTCAGCTGTATAATATATACAGAGATACCTACAATCCTTGACATGAAGGATCTGAAAATTGGACACATTGTCAATAAGACGATTACAATCCTGTGAGGAACTTTAATTATTGAATGGATGGGATTTAGGTAAGATTTATTTTCAGTTATAGAACATAAATAATTTGCTCTTCAATATTAATAAAACTGGTAACTAAAAATGAGTCATCATATTAAAGATTCAAAACGTTGGTTGTGTCTCGATACTTCGTATATTAATTCTACAAATTCCTTGTCCTAGCTCCTTCTACTGTCACTCCTTTTGAGTTTAGAGTACAACTAAGAATATTGCAAAATTTAGCAGGGACCGACTTCTAGCAAATATGGATGTTGTATTTTACCTCATCTTGTAAATTCCTACTTTATGTTAGATAGAGAAAGTTATGATCCTAATAATTAGACTTTGATATTTTATTATTAATATCCCTGATATTATGCTATGACTTGGTCCCTGTAATGCGTAGCTATCATGATCAATTCCTACCATATATTTGTTTATTATAATTAATGCTAGCTACATTATAGGATCACAATTGTACTACAATGTGCGTATATAAACACAATTTGTAATATGAATAATTAAGTCATTTTTCTACACATTTTTCTTTCTTGGCATCAGAGCTCTTAAGCTTGAAGGCTCTCGATCCAATCATGTCTTCTACAGCCAACACAAATCAGAAAAATGACCTACCCACAACTGTCTTTGTCAGGCTAGATAAAGATAATTATCTCCTATGGAAGTCACTAGTTCTTTCATTGATTAAAGGTTGCAAACTTGATAGCTACATACTAGGAACAAAAAAATGTCTAGAACAGTTTGTCACCACAAGTGACAAAACTAAGAAAGTCAATCCTGACTATGAAGAGTGGATCGCACACGACCAAGCTCTCCTAGGGTGGTTAAGAAATTCAATGGCCATTGATATTGCAACACAGTTGCTGCACTGTGAAACCTCTAAAAAACTTTGGGATGAAGCCCAAAACCTAGCAGGTGCACACACAAAATCAAGGACAATCTACCTTAAGTCAAAATTTCACAACACTCGCAAAGGAAAAATGAAGATGGACCAGTATCTTCTCAAAATGAAGAAACTTGTTAACAAATTAAAGCTGGCAATATCACCGATCTCCAACTTAGACCTCATAATCCAAACACTGAATGGCCTGGATGCTGATTACAATCCTGTTGTGGTCAAATTATCCAATCAAATCAACCTTAGTTGGGTTGACCTACAAGCCCAACTATTGGCATTTGAAAGCACAATAGAACAACTGAACAATTTCAGTAATCTCTCAACGAATGCTTCAACAAACCTTGCAAGCAAAGATGGTTTCAGAGGTAACAAACTAGAGACACAAGGCAACTAGAGAGGCTCTAACTTCAGAGGAGGTAGAGGAAGAGGTAAATCTAAACCAACATGTCAGGTATGTAACAAAATTGGTCACACTACAATGCAATATTTTTATCGCTATGATAAGTCATACACAGGCTCAAATCACAATGTTGAACATAACAAGAGAGAAAATCACAGTGCCTTCATAGCCTCCCCCTACCACTGTCAGGACTATGAATGGTACTTTGATAGTGGAGCTAGCAATCATGTGACTCATCAAAATGAGAAAACTCCAAGATCTCAATGAAAGCAATGGTAAGAATTCTCTCTTAATTGGCAACGGTGAAAGATTGAGAATATTGGCCTCAGGCTCGACTAAATTAAATAACCTCAACCTGCATAATGTCCTATATATTCCAGAAATATCCAAAAACCTGTTGAGTGTATCTAAACTAACTGCCGACAATAATGCTCTTGTTGTATTTGATGCAAACTACTGTTATGTGAAGGACAAACTGACAGGGAAGACACTACAAAAAGGAAAACTTAGAGATGGACTATATCAACTTTCAAGTACCAACTCTCAAGTCAATAAAGATCCATGTATCTACATGTCAGTCAAGGAGAATTGACATAGAAAACTTGGACACCCCAACAATAAAGTCCTAGAAGAGGGGAAGAATTGCAATGTGAAGACTTCATCAAGTGATCAATTTTCATTCTGTAAAGCTTGTCAATTTGGAAAACTTCACTTGTTACCGTTTAAATCCTCTTCCTCTCATGCTAAGGAACCTTTAGAACTAATTCACAATGATGAATAGGGACCAACCCTAATCTTGTCTCCATCTAATTTTAAGTACTATGTTCATTTTATTGATGATTTCAGCAGGTTCACTTGGATTTTACCCTTAAAACAAAAATAAAAAACAGTACATGTTTTCACTCAATTCAAAAGCATGGTTGAAAACCAGTTTAACAAAAAAATAAAAGCCTTTCATTGTGATGGTTGAGGTGAGTATAAACCTATCCAAAAAATAGTCATCGAGTCATGAATTCAATTTAGAATGTCTTGCCCATATACCTCTCAGCAAAATGGCAGAGCAGAAAGAAAACATAGAAATGTGACTAAACTAGGGCTCACACTATTGGCACAGGCCAAAATGCCTTTACACTACTAGTGGGAAGCTTTCTCTACCTCAGTTTATCTCATCAATAGATTGCCTTCATCAGTCAATCCAAATCAAAGTCTATATTCATTATTATTTGGAAAGGAATCTGAATATGATGCCTTAAAACCTTTTGGTTGTGCCTGTTACCCTTGTCTCAAATCATACAATCAACACAAACTTCAATTCCACACTACACAGTGTGTGTTCTTGGGATATAGTAAATCTTACAAGGGATATAAGTGGCTCAACTCCCATAGAATAATTTTTGTCTCAAGACATGTGGTCTTCAATGAGAACCATTTTTCATTTCATGATGGCTTTCTTAACCCAAGAAATCCATTAAAGACTCTAACTGAAACAGTACCTAATGTTCTTCCTTCTTATCCTGCAGGTACCATTACAAGCCACACATTTGAACCAACCAACATTGAGGTAAACCATCAGGAAGGTGACTTAGCTGCGCATGGAGATCAACCAGCTCTCAGTGACTTAGCTGCCAATGAAGATCAATTAGCGCTCAGGGATATCTCTATCAATGCAGATGAGGCAACCTCACATGCAAATGAAACACCAGCTGCAAAAAGCCCAGCAGAGGACACAGCAGAAGACAATAACCAACAAGCCCAGTAGGACAACACGCACAGAATGCAAACCAAAAGCAAGGCAAGGATCTATAAGCCAAAACTGCCTTATATAGAGCTGACAGAGACTCACACTGAGGACAAAAAACCAGAAAATGTCAATGAAGCACTTGCCAATCTAAGATGAAAAGCAGCCATAGACGCAAGATTTAAAGCTCTAGCAGCTAATCACACTTGGACATTAGTATCATTTTAGGAGCAGAATAATATCATAGACTCAAAGTGGGTCTTTAAAACTAGTACAAGGAAGATGACTCAATTGAGAGAAGGAAAGCAAGATTGGTTGCTAAAGGTTTTCAACAAACTACAGGTCTAGACTATCGTGAGACCTTCAGTCCAATTATCAAATCCAGCACTGTAAGAATTGTCCTATCCATTACAGTACATTTAAATTGGGAAGTTAGGCAATTAGACATAAATAATGCATTCTTGAATGGCAATATCAAAGAAATAGAAGAATATAAAGATTCAACTAAGCCTAATCACATATGCAAATTAACCAAGGCAATCTACGGCCTGAAACAAGCCCCAAGGGCTTGGTATGACAGGTTGAAGGACACTCTACTAGAATGGAGGTTTCAAAACACCAAGAATGATTCATCAATGTTTGTCCTTAGAGGGACTAACCATATTGTATTGTTCCTCATTTATGTTGATGACATAATAGTAACAGGGAGCAACAACAAATTTATAGAGACCTTCATTACTTAACTAAACATTGCTTTTTCTCTTAAAGACTTAGGTCTTCTACACTACTTCTTGGGAATTGAAGTACATAGAGATGCTGGTGGAATGCACCTGAAACAAACAAAGTACATTAAAGACCTGCTCAAGAAGTTTAATATGGAAAAAGCTTCATCCTGCCCCACACCAATGGTATCAGGGAAACAATTCACTGCTAAAGGAGACCTTATTACTAACCCTACACTATACAGACAAGCTATAGGTGCATTATAATATCTAACCAATACTCAGCCAGATATAGCATTTTCTGTCAACAAACTCAACCAATATATGAGTTCTCCAACCACAGAAATAAAAAAAAAATACTGAGATATCTCCATGGCACACTAAATTTATGCGTTCATATCAAACCCTCAACTGATCTTGATATTGTTGGGTTCTCTGATGCAGATTGGGCCACTAGCATAAATGACAGGAAATCTATGGTAGGGCAGTGTGTGTTCCTTAGAAAGACGTTAATCTCGTGGGCTTCAAGAAAACAAAAAATGGTGTCACGGTCAAGTACTGAGTCAGAATACAAAGTTTTGGCTGATCTAGCAGCAAAAGTAGTTTGGATTAGATCACTTCTAGGTGAGCTGAAACTTCTTATGCCTAGAAAACCAGTTTTGTGGTGTGATAACTTGAGTGCCAAGGCACTGGCATCCAATCCAGTGATGCATGCTCAGTCCAAACATATTAAGATAGATGTCTACTACATACGTGATCAAGTGGTTCAAAATAAAGTCACAATAGCCTATGTACCCATAACAGATCAAATTGCAGATTGTTTAACCAAACCTCTCACCCACAAGGTTCAACATTTTGAGAGACAAACTTGGGATGACTATATCACCATCAGTTTGAGAAGGAGAGTTAGAGAAAGTTATGATCCTAATAATTAGACGTTGATATTTTGTTATTAATATCCCTGATATTATGCTATAAATTGGTCCCTGTAATGTATAGTTATCATGATCAATTCCTACCATATATTTGTTCATTATAATTACTGCAAGCTACACTACAGGATCACAATTATACTACAATGTATGTGTATATAAGCACAATCTTTAATATGAATAATCAAGTTGTTTTTCTACACATTTCTCTTTCTACTGTGATTGTAGCATACTGTAATTAATTCTACACTTTACTGTTTTTATGAACAACCCATGACTTGTGCGCGAAATAAGAAAATGACAAGAAATATAAATCAAGACATAAAATTTACCAATAATTAATCTTGACAAACCGGTGCTGCTTCCCCCTGCTATTGAAACAGAGCACGATCAATTAATAAAACACAAACGTCCAAGGCAAAGGTAGCAAATTTAAGGTGTTCATGAATCGATTTTCATACTCACTTCCCTTCATATTTCAACTTTCCTATTTATAATTTCTTCTATACTACTATGTTGTTGTGGGCTATACCATTTAATTTTATTTCTTAATCCCTAAGTGCATGTTCAGAGGAGTTCTTTTAAGAAAATAATCATTTTAAAAATTCTCTCATAAATTATAAGAAGAATAATTCCTTTTTAGAATATGCTGAACCAAACATGTACTTATTCCCTTTACATTACAATAAACAGAGAGTTTCATTATCAGTATCACTAAAAGCTGACACCCCAGTAACAGTATATAATATATATGATTTGTTTCTATAATGCTAAATCTTTTTTATTTTTAATCTTTTCATTACACCCGCATCTCAAAAAAATATCTGGTTTACAAAGAATGGTTCGAAAAACATTTCCCATACACAAATGACCCAGCAAACGTACCATCACATTTGTTGCTTCTTGTAGTGCCATCATTGCAGAAGCACAGCACCTCCTTCCTGGTATTACTATAGCCACAAAGTCCATTACTAGCCTCACACTCAACACAATTCGAAGATGTTCGCCATTCAAGTACGAACCCTTCACTAATAGCCCCAGCAAACTGATGCATCAACCCATTATCACTTGTAATCTGATCCTTCATCACCGTCACCATAACGTTTGCCTCGCAGTTTTCCAACCAGTCAAAACCTTTAGTCTCGTTCCCCATCACAAACACAAAAGACTCCTTCACCCCAAAACTGAGACACTTGATAGAAGGTACCCCAGAAGGGTAACTAGTGCAGTTGTAGTAAAAGCCAAGGTTTAAGTTCAAGGAAGATTGAGAAAGTGGTAGATTTCCCAGAGGAACCTTGTGAAGTGCTCTTGGACAAGTTTGGTTTGCAGTGTCAAAATCAACGAGGTTAAGACTATGTTTTCCGTAGTCTACGTTTTTAACGTAATAGTAATATCCAGGGGGTGGAGAAAAAATGGGGTCACCATGATCAGAACAAATAAGGCCAAATTCTGGGTACCCGCAATATTGATCAGGAGGTGAGCCTTGGGAGAGCCAAAAGGGGTAACTGATGTTAGGTCCATTTTTACAATGGTAAGTGGGGCAATTTGTTGAAGATGAAGTGTTGTGGCTACTAGAGGTATTAGTGAATAAGAGAAACAGAGGAGCAACAAAGCAAATAAATGCAAGTTTGAACATGAGGGCCAAATGTGATACGAATGGTTCAGTGTCAGGAAGAAGAGAAGAGGGTGAGTTTCAACATATAAGAGATGAGATTATGATAATAATTTCCAACGTTTGAGGTGGGAAGGAAATTTCTTGGGAGTCAGGAAAGTGGAAATTACGTGACGCTGAAGGATACGAAGTCTACAACATAGAACTGTGCTGGTCAACACGTGAGGCAGATCTTAAAAGGATGAGGAGAATTCCTTGATATATTTTCTGTTTGTCATGTGCTAATGTTCACATTGACATTCAACAAAAATTTATGATGAGTTTACATTGACAAAGGAAAGTGTTTATGAGATACCAAGGGCATGTACGGGAGAAGAGTGGTTGAGGAGAAAAGAGAGGAAGATATTTTTTAAAATTTTTAATTTTCAAAACGATATATTATGATAATAAATATATAATTAATATAATTTTATATTATTATATTCATTTATATTTTTTTATTATAAAAGTCTAAAGTTGATGTTATTTTCATGATTGAATTTAATGATGAATAAATTATCAAACATATAAAAATTGAGAGTTTTAGTTCTTAGGTTGAAAGTAATTTTATAAATAATGTTACATAACAGTATTTTTAAGTATTAGTTCTCCTTTCATTCTTTTAATTCAAGCTTAATTTAATTTGTTTTTAATGTTAATTAGTTATTTAATTTAGTCTTATTTAACACAATAAAAATATATTATTAATAATTAAAACATTTATTCTTAAATTTGTAAAAGCATGAGATAAAATAAATAATATGTTAAAAAATTATAAAAAAAACATAAAAAGTGTTATAAAACTTTTATGTAAATTATAAAAAAGGTTATATTGTATTATTCTTTAAGGTATAGCAGAATTTAATGATGAAAAAATTATCAAACGATGACGTTAATTCTATGCATTTGATTTCTGTATTTTGATCTAAAACTAAAAGCTATGCACCTTTAACCAACTATTTTGGAAGTCTCTTGAGTAAATTCATTCCTAATTATTGGCTGATATATGGCCATTCATTATTTTAACTACAGAGATTGTTGTGAAACTAATTCTGCTGGTACAGTCACAAATTTTATTTTATTTTTTTCATTGACCCACGACAGAGAGACGAATATGCGTAATTCCTAATAAGATTGGTAACATTATTAGGTATTAGACACTGAATATAACGTTTAGAAGAACTTCTTGGGGACAAATTTCCTTTGTTGTGAGAACAAAATTATCCCAGAACATTTGAAAACTAAGAGCAGAATGGGGCTCTTAACCCAAATCGAAACAGAAAACGCATAAAAGTATAACAAGATAAGAGGGTCGAATCACTTCTCATGATGTTATAATACATCATTACTTTACGTGATTGCTGAAACTATGATAACCATAGCAACACTGCCCAGTAAAGGAAGGTATTTTTGGCAAGAGAGTAGTAAAAAAGGCCACGCCACATATTTTCACAGATCCTTGAAATGGGCCTAGACCAAAACTAACCATCATGACACATTTATGTTATGGGCCAACACTTCACACTAAGCCTAATGATTCATGATAAAAGAAAAAGACTAATTTGATTCTCCAACTGCTACTTGTATATACAGCTGAAAGTCAAAGTACTAAAATTTTGCTGTGGACAAAAAAAAAGTACTAAAATTTTTCTAATGCCACCTTGCAGCACCATCAACTGAGGGTGTTATGTCACTGTCCGATTGTGACTCTGAGAGTGAGAAGCTATAAGGCATGCCATTCACGAACGATGGTGAAGCAAATTGTGCACTCAGTGCCCACTCGTTGCACCCCATTTGTGCGTTATGGCTAGGAACGTAGTTGCCACCCTCTGCAGATTTATCACCAAAATAATCGTTCTGATCATATGCCATTAATGATGCTTGATGATTGTTTGGAAATTGCTCCACTGTTTCACCTATATAGTTAGATTATAAATTAATGTCGCATCATTGAATCCAAATTAATGTGAAATTTATTTTGGAGGGAAAGGAATTGTGATTGTGAAATAGTTTTGCGTAGGCACATTATCACATTGATTAATAGAACATACCTTGGGTTAACAAAGCAACATTATCATTCAAAGCCCCATCAATTTCTTCCAAGTGTTTCCAACTATCGTATGCTTCTCTCAACAATCTTTCCATATAGCTCTGCATATTTACCCATTCAAATGAATAATAGGATTAAAATCAACACCTAGTAAAATCTACAACGTGAGGAAATTAACAAGGTGAATTTTGAGTAAAAATTTACGTACCCTGCTCATGTTGCTCAGTTCTTTGCTGGGAAAGTTTTGGCCGTTGACATCAGCTCTAACCAATTGGCATATGGCATTGAGAAAGATTGTAAAATTAGCCCCACGATAGACGTAAAGTTTGTTGCCCATGTTGCAAGTCTTTGCATGCTTAATTGTCACTTCCCACATTTTCTCTGACATCCCAACGCCTAAAATCTGATTGCAAAACCAATACAAAAATAGCTTAATATTATTTACCCATATAATGATTATCTATTTTAAATTTTTTTACCCCAAAATTATATTATTTCAAGAAAATGATTTGTTTTATTTATCATTAATGAAGAGTTCATATTTTTATTTTCGTGTACTATCATGACAGGGTATTGAGTAATATACCTTTCTGAGCTTATGGGGATCAACAACGGATAACTTGAGAAAATCTTGCACTGTGTTAATCCCTTCTTTGTACAATTTTTTGTGGAAAGCTCCGTCTTTCCCTATCTTCTCTAGGCGCCACACTTCGTCGTGTAGCATTGGTGGGTGGTGTTTCTTGTACACTTCAAATGTATAAAAAAATTGAATGTAGATATTTAATATATGACAACAAAAATAACATCATTAAGAATAATAAACTACTTCAATGCCACCAAATTTTAGATATCATGATTCATGAGACAAATATTTACCACAATAGAATTCATCGCTAATTAATACTATTTTAAACATATGAACACTAGCTTGACCGCGTCTTTGAAACCATTGACTTCAGATCGTCCCCAAACAAACGAATTGCAAAAACCGGAGTAGAAATTGGTATAAGTTGAAATGAAAAAGAAAAAGAAAAAGAAAATGAAAAGCTTGTACGCGTCATTTTGTCAATAGATGAAGTTTTTTGAGGGTTCTCTTTATTTCACACTATGTATTATTGCATTGGTGGGACCATGATTGAGCATCTATTGGCTACTGAGCGAAGATCTTAAATTCTTAATTAGCTGTAAGTTTGACAAACAACTATCACTATCCAGTCATCGTAAAAGAAGATCCAAACAAAAGGAAACAAACATATTAAAATTGATCACTATTGACACTATTGCTTGCTGGAAAGGGTGAAAATGAAATGCCCTATATTGTAGGAGACAAGACCAATGTACTTTTCCACTAATATATAGTACGATATTGAAATTAATAAATTTGAAGCCACAATCTTCATAAGATTTTAAATAATGATAGTTCTACACCAAAGTTTTAATGTAGTTTTGGGCTGTTTTCAGATAAACAGCATTCTACACTAAATCTAATCTATATTTACAAAATATTGTAAAACATAGTAATATGAGTTTTAATGTTTGAAAAATGGAATTCATATCATGCACACAAATAATCTATATTTTCGTGTATTAATTTTATAAATTTATCATTTATGTGAAGAAGTTGCATTACTTTTGATTATGTGATGGTTTTACGTATTAACTTATTTCATCTTATAAGATCACTAATTTGTGGTTGTCGGAAAAGTATACTTATTTTATGAAGGTAGCTAACAACTTAGATCACCTAATCACTGATAACATCTTAAAGAAAACCCAATTCTTAAACAAATATCCAGGTTTTTTTCAACGCGGTATTTTTTTTTTTTAATTTTCTACCAGGTGGGGGGATCATTTTCTACATAGTAAAATATAACAGAAAGCGTTATAATTTTATCATGCCATAAGGTGAAAAAAAATTATCATTACTTTCTTTCTTTTTCCTCTTTATAAAAATCTGCAATTCATCACTTGGACCTATTTATCCCCCACCAACCAATTTTTTCATGTGCTCCTTTTTCTTCCCGGATAATTCTCATGAAGACAACAATAATTTGCACAAATTGACAATATTATATATGTGCTGTGTCTATGTTCTACAATGGTTTTCTGACGCAACTAGTTGACCAAAGAGGTTGACTCGAGATAATTTTGTTCCTCGATAGCATTTCTGATCAGTTATAATATATCGACAACATTTAAATTAAACAAAAGGACACCATACACTAGTCCACCAACTATTTAATAATAGTTATTAACAACATCGGCACCCAAATAAATTGAATAAACAGTACTTAAACCATCAGTTATAAAGCATATATTTGTTAGAAATTAACAAACCATATAAACTAACAACCTTATACCCATACTCTAAAACAGTAACGTTTGCAGATAGCCAAAACTAAGATTAAGAAACAAATGCAGGCAATGTATGCATTTAATAGTGTATAAATTAATAAATTATTTCGAATTGATAAAATAAACAATAATAATAAAAGAAAAATACTCACATTCACCCCGGTGATCCTTCACGATAAATGGTTCAGTCATGCCTTCACGAATTCGAACAGTTTGATTACTCCCTGGAGCCACTCTCACAGCAACTCTAAACTTTCTGCTACGAATCCAGCTAGAATTATCAGTGAACTCAATGTCTCCAATTGGTGCAATTCCATCCCTCATGGTCAGATTCAATTCTCCGGTAAGCAATGGTCTTTTCCCTGTTCTCTCCTTCACTATGTGGTTGTTGAATGCATCACTCGTCCATGACTCGTTGTTATCACCAGCAGGAGGAAAATCTCCATCTAGAACCACAATTTCTAGCTTGATGGGGTGTTGAAAAATCGTGGTAACCATTTGACCATTACTTTTGTCAACAAGAACCACATGGATGGGGTTCCCATCTATATCTAATATTCTACTACCCGTGAATATAGGGAGCGAAAGCTTTTTGTTAAACATGAGTTGATAGCTTGATGGTTGCTCCAATGCTTGGATTCTCAATGAAGGGGACCTAGTTATTGATCGTGGACAACGATGTCTCATCACTCGATCCACCTCTTCATTCACCTAACAAAATGAATTATAAACTTTCATCACAAAATTAAATCCAATTAATTGAAAATAATTCAATGTAATTTCATGTCTATCTTATGTTATAAGCTTATAGCTTATTAACTTACCACTCTTCTAAGCAAGGGTTCCAAACCCGAGAAAAGGTTTTGCAAATTTTTCACCATAACAACTTCCCCTATTACACTGTCAAAAAGATTGTTTTAGTTTATCATAAGTGAGACATGTTTGAAAGCATAGTAGAGGATATGCAATGCAACAGTGAAGTTTCGTAACAGGATCAAAATAAGTAGAAGAAAGAACACCAAGCTCTAATAAACATACGAAGCAAAAGAAGGTCTTGCACTTCTCATCCGTTTATCGCCTGGCTTATCATTGTCTTGATCAGAATCATCCGAAAAACGTTTTGCTGCCATTCTTATGAAAAATTTGGGACAAGGGTGAAAGACGTTGGTGTGAGGTTGCGCCGAGTTTGCTTAATGAGAGGTAGGAGGGGAGGATTTGCGTTTTTATATATACTAAAGGCGAAAATAAAAGTATGTGAGAGTGTAGAATTGGGTTACATTATAAAATAAGATAAAGGAAGAAAGAAGGTTCTTGGAATGTTGGAGGAAGTAACGAAGTAATTAGGATGTTGTAACCTAGAAGGAAGGAGTATAGTATGATGTAAAGACTTAGACGTCAACAGCGATCCAAAGTCAACCCAAATCTTTATCGTTCTATCCGTGAGAAAGAGATACAGCCACCAAGCAAGTAGGACCCATAAATTTTAATTACAAGGCCTTTTTTTGGATTCAGTGGTGCACAAAATCCGACATTGATGAGAGCTACAACCCATCAGATCACAAATTACATGTTTCTTAAAGTGAAAAGGTTATCAAATCATTCCATGAGTCACTTCCATTATTTGGTTTAATAGATTTTGTTATTTCAACGACTAAAAATCGTGATACTATACTTTTTTATTTTTTTTATATATGCATATATATCTTTGAAATATATATACTTAAAATGATAAATAAAATAACTAAAAATTATCCTAAACTATTATTTTAAAAATACTTTCGTTTTTTTTTATTACATGATGTGAATAAGATTTTTACAATGCATCCTGTCTCACTCCCATTTTCTTATTTCCTTTCTTCATCTTTCTTCCGAGGATTATTATGAGTCTCACTTTATATGTATAAAAAAAAAAGTTTGAGTGAAGATATCTATGTTTATAAGTTCTTCTTAATCACTCTATTTAATGCACTAGTTATAAGAAAATAAAAATTTTCATTTAAAATTATGCTTAATATATTAATAATAGTTTTTATAAAAATAAATTAACCATAATTGTACCAATGGTACGATTTAACATTTGTCATGTTCATAAGAAAGTCGTGACAGAGAAATCTTTAATTATTTTCAGAGCAATAATTCGGATTGAGGTGAGCAAGGTACTATCGGTCGAGTCTGAAATTTATATTTGAATATTCTAACAGAGCTCTAACTAAAGCAAATAGATTTTTCTTATTTCTGAAGCGTATAAAAGGGTTCTTTTTATTGCATCCGGTAAAGCGAAATTGTAACTGGCCGGCTCTTTATTTTGTATTCACAGAGTTTATAATAAGACAACAACTTAATTTAATCTAGTTAATTTCAGATTTTTTATATCATTGCTTATTTCATTCTGTAATCTAGTAAATTTAGTGTAAATTGCTTTCCTTTTAAGATTTTGTCACATAACAGTTTGGTCAAACTACGTGCTTCTAGGAAGGATCGTACATGTCTTAGAGATGACTTGTAATAACTTGTAACAACAAATGATACCTAGCTACGAGATATATTTTAACGTTTTTCAAATTCCAAGTCTTTGAACTATTGATCGTAGGCGACACCTTGTGTACCACCCATTAAAATCGGACCACATCTCCCACAAGATCTGTTTCTGAATTTCTTTATACATGCAAGAATTGAATCAACAACTTGTGTATTCAGATCATTATTTATGAACGATGTGATAATTAAGTAGTTACAAACATTTTCTTTTCATCAATGTTAGAAAAGTAAAAGACACCATATTCTTTTGAAATAACTCATACATCGAGTGTGATCATAATAAACTGAATAGTCAATTTAAAGAAATATAATCATTTAACCAATATAATGCAAGCACCTATCCCTTAATTAGAAGAGCAGTCGGTGTTCATAATTAAGTTAATCGCAATCATCACGTCATCTAAATATCCTACTCGGTTGTTGAAGTAGACCCCAAGACAATTGATGCATCCATTTCTACTCGGTTATGGAAGTAGGCCCGATAGTTCAATTCATTGATAAATATATATATATATATATATACTTTTGTATGGCCCAAATGTGGAGACCAAATGGCTAGTGCTGTTAGAAGTGAGGGGAGAACAAAAGTGCAAAAGCGAGTCGCCAATGTCGTAGGACCAGATATTAATAATGATGTCGAAAATCGATGTTCCACATCGATAGGAAGTTTGGGAGCTCCTTCCTATTTCTGTGGCAGCTAAAGGAAAGCCTATATGAATTGTGTTATTTAGTTCATTTAAATCAATTTATTACAAGAATTATAGGAAGTTGAATTAAAAAAAATAAATTAATTTAAACTTGTAAAATAATATTTAAGTCGAATTTAATTTAAACTCAAAATTCAAAAAACAAACTTTACATTATCATTGAAGTTCAAACTAACTCATTTTATCGGCCTAAGCCATTTTCCATCACTCGGTGGAGCTTGATATTCATACGGCGCCTTCTCAAGTTAGGCCAAACAAGAGGAGAGTTCCAAAAGGAGATTAATCTTTTAATATTAATATAGTTTGTATTGCAACATTTATTTTATTATTTTAAAGTTTTAAAAAGTTGTAATAAATGTTATAGAAGCTAAAAAATGCGATGAAAAACACGTCTTCTACTATTAAACTTTAGGGGTAGATGATATGGACATAAGCTGAAAACAGTTTCGCAGAAGAGCAAAGGAGTTTAATTTATATGACGAAGTAGTTTTCTATTTTGCAATGAACGGAGAGCAATGGTTGAATAGATGTTTTGTTACATATAAAAGGAAAGTGAAGTGAAACTATCCCGTGGTTTCTGCGCAATGTTACGTTACCACTTACAACAGTACTTACCAAATGCCTTTCTATTTCTATTTTAAAAGTCGTTCTCATTCGGTAAACATTTTATTTCTCTCTAAATTATTTAACATTATTAAAGTTAGATCTTAAATTTTAAAATTTTAATTTTTAAGAGTAATATTAAATAACACGGTTCATTTTGTATATAAAACAAAGTTGTTTTATAATTTTTTAAAAATTATTTATTTTTATCTGAACTTTTAACATTTTTAAATAATAAAGTTTTTATTTTGCATTTTGCTATCTTTTTTTTTCTCTTTCCTCCCACGGTCTTTTTGTCATGGTGTCTGTTTTACTTTTTTTCTACCTATCTCTCTTTTTTCAAACTCAAGAAGTTATATTTTCTCTCATAAATACAATCAAATAAATATGTAATTATCAATTATGGATTTTTGAAACAATAATAATAAATATGTAGAAAGGGGAAATATTAAATTTAATAAATAATATGACGGAAATTAAAAAGAGATAAATTAAATTAGAAAGAGATAAATTTTATAAGTATTTTAAAAATGATAAAAAATAATAAAAAATATGATATATAATAATCTTAATTATTTTAAAAATTATTAATGATAATTAAAATTATATCAATTATTGTCAAGTAACAGATTAATTTTTTGAACTACTTATATATATATATATATATATATATATATAAATTAATAAATATTTTGTACTAAAAGTTATAAAATACATGTATTCTCTCTCACTCTCTCACACACGGATATAATTGATAATGAGGACTAATTTGATACTCAATACAATAAGAAATTTTGTTATCATTTCAAAAAACATAAAAAATTAGGATAAGAGACTATATATATATATATATATATATATATATATATATATATATATATATATATCTTATTTTATTCTCTTATTATATTCACGAAACTTTTTCTAGCAGCTAATTGTGAACCACAACGTCAATTTTATCAATACAAAAATGCGAATCGAGAAATTCAAGACAACTAAACTGAAAAAAAGCTTCACTTTATATCCACATGTATACTCCTTTTATAAAAAAAAAAAGAATAATGTTAAATCTTTCTACTCTTTATTTTTACAAATCTTCCAAATTATTAAATCAAGAAAATGTTAAGTATATTTTATGTTTTCAAGATAATAATACATGAAAATTTTCATTTATTACTTATTTTATAAAGTAATAAGAAGATTATTAGGAGGATATAGGAAAGCTATTTATAAAAACTTCTTATAACATGTATTGTTTACAGTATACAGTATACAAATGAATAGTTATGTAAAATACTTCAATAGTAGTCCATTTAAACCCTGATCATCTATATATAAAATGGAAAAGGAAAAAAAAAAGGAAGTAGGAACAAACACAAATCAATTGAATTGCATTATCCGTGGAGCAAACCTCAACAATCTATCTAAAGCCTGGGGCATGAACTTTCTTGCAAACAAATGACAAACATTGGTGCTCTTGCCATTGTATTGACATTTTCTCCCATACCTTAGCCTATTCAAAAATTCAACAGTCACATCCGTTCTCATAAACCTGGATGGATGGGGTCCACCCCTTGACCAATCAACCCATGTCAAAGTTCTATTGGAGTTCCTCTGCCAAAATTTGATACTAACCAAAGTGGGCAAGTAGTGTTCATCACCATAACATCCATTCCTGCAATACTTCTTAAACACTGGGAAGTATTGTTGATCAGAGACTATCTCAATGGCAAGGGCACGGTCTATTTGAAACCATTGTGAGCCCTTCCTCCACTGAGAAAGCTTAACTTGTGGCCTCATCCTTGGGCTGTACCTCCCTCTACCCACTGAGCCTGGCATATCATAGGCTTCTATAAAGGTCTTGGTTGAGTTCATAAGGTAATTATAGATAGTTGAGAAGTTGAACAAGGGAATGCATGATTCTGAGAGTAGAACAAAACGTTGGTTTGAAAAGTCAAGAAGTGCATTTGCTAGGAGACGCCTCTCTGCCCCTATCATGTTGAAGTCACCCCATCTTACCTCCTGCATCGTGTTACCGGAAGAAACCAAATTAAGAAGTATTGGTATATCTTCGGATAAAAGTATTTCAAGTGCTGAAGTACTTGTTTCATTTAACTTTTATTAAGAAAAAAATAACATTCGTTTTTAATTTCTAAAAGAATGAATTTGAAACATCCCATGGTGATAAGTAATATAATAGATCATGTTCGAGAGAGCAAGATACATTTTTTGTCAAATAATAACCCAATTTAATTGGTTGTAAGTTTCACTAATTAAAAATGATTAAAAAATGTTTTTTTCTCTCAACAACGTGACTATATCATGCTACTAAAAAAACGTGACAGGATTCAAATCACTAAAAGCAAGTTGTCATAGCAAACATAATGGATCAAATTGAGAGTGCTCTTCTTGGGCTTTTATTAGACAATGAGCCCATGTCCATTAATAGACTAATGTGTTTAGTTTGAGACCCAAACCAATTTGATATATGTCTTGAAAACAAAATGGTTAGAAGTTTTATGAGCTGCATGTTCAGATTATCTGTTGCATGTGAGAGACAGTATGAAGAAAGGAATTATGAAAAGTTTGATGAGGACGTTTAAAAGTGTGCGCAAATGGAGAAGAATAGAATTTTCTTGGAAGTGCAAAAGGAGTGGAATCAAAGAAAAGCATTCACAGTTTGCTTTAACATCTCAACTCCGGAAGCAACCAACAAGAACAAGGAAAAAAATTAGATTGGGGACATAGTTTAGGTTACTTTATCTCACTGTACGGAATGATGGGAATTCAGATCCTTTTCCAAGAAGAACAAATGGATGACCAATTGACGAATAACCACTGTCCACAGAGATACAATAACTATGGGTTTTATTATAAAAAATTGGTTCACTTTAAAGAATAATAGATCCAGTAAAAGTATAATTTTTCTCATTCTGAATAAATGATTTGAAATGCCATTATTTGCAAGTATAGGGATTGATTGTTTGCAGGCTTAGCTGGTATCTGACTATTTGGTATCGTTCATCAAAGTTTCCTTTTACAAGAAATCCTCAAGTCCTGACCACGAATGTGACTCTAAACTAAGACTATACGCTACACAACTCATAATATAAAGTGTTAAACTCTAATTGGAAGAAATTCTCTTATAAAAAAGTGGCTGCTCAGGTTCATGCAGACAGGTGTTACCCTATTCACAAGGTTTTCTTTTTGTTTAAGCATATAATAAGAAGAAGGAACTTATTTTTATTATAGAATAATGGGTATAATTAAAATCCTGAAATAACTTAGTACCTAGGTAGTTGCCTAGCAATATCATCTACATGTTTAGTGAAGAGAAGAACCGTGTGATCATTATAACATACATTGTCATGTTGAAACTTGAAATAGAACGTCAAAACTTAAAGTTGAATCCTAGATTCATGAAAATAAAAACACTCTTGTAAAAAGTGGAAAAAGAATATATCATTAGCAAATAATTGTGCTCTAATTTTCTCTTGAAGACTTGCAGGCCTTTGTCAAAAGAACACAACACATGCAATAAATTGAGGAAACCATTAATTTTGGCGTTTATTGAGGAGCACCTCGTGTTTGACATTATTATCAAAATCGGTTTTGTACCGTCTCATAAAAGCCAAGAAATCCCAAAAGGTGAATGGAATTGGAAAAATATTGTACTTGACCCAAAAAATGGGTAAAAAGACTTCAATACATACCCTTGGTTTTGGGGCAAAGTTCATTATTATTATTCTTGCACTTTGAGTACGTTAACAGATATTAAAAGCTAAAACGTGCATTGTGCTGTGATCTATGATCCATTGAAGGTGGGGGGGGGGGGGTATTTTTTTTTCTTTTAATTATTTTAATGAAATTGAACAGACTGAACACAGAAAATGCAAGCCAATTACGAAATGTTTAAGAAAATAGCACACACTGACCTTGCTTGGGATTCTGCGGCCATGAAAGACAGAATTTGTAGGCACTGTTTGATTGAAAGAAGGGTGTGAATGGATATAGATAGAATATAACCCTTCATTTCCTTTGAAGAATCTCTCCCATAGAGGAGCCAAAAACACAGGTCCTTTTGTCAAAAACATAAATGCAACCTTTGGGGTGTGTTTGAATGGGAGTTTCTGAATCCTAGGAACCATAGAAGCTCTCCACAGCAACTCTTCTTCAGTCATATCGTGCATAGCCTTGGTTGGTCTTAAGAAACCCCTTAACCCATTTTGGGTGAAGTTGGTGACTTTCGTATGATTATTTGACGTTGAGATGAGAACAGAAGGAGAGAAAGATGGGTGGAGAACTTGCTGGAATTGAAAGTTGAGAGACAAGTCTTTGAAATAGAAAGTGATGGTGATTCCAATGAAAAAACCAATAGTAAATACAAGGACATGAAAGAAGTTAAGCATATGTGGTTGAGCACTGAAGAGTTTGGCTGTTGCACAGGAACGTTCTTGGTGCTTATTATTCTTCATGGCGGTGATGATCAACGAGAATAGGTGTTGAAGAGAAAAGAGGGAGAGGGAAGGATCAAATATTGATACAGAATGTTGGTTGGTCTATTCTCTGTATGATACTAAAATTGGTCACAAAAATTATCTATATTCTGTATTTGACGGAAGTGTGAAAACTATGATCTAATTTAAGAATCATTTATTTTTTTATTAATGAATACATAAATTATATTTATGTATACTTTAATTGATTGCATAAAAAATTTTATTTACCATATTCTAATATTAAATTTTATGAAAAAAAGGTATATTCGCATTATATTCTAATTGGCTGACGGTGTAAAAATATTTACAATAACAGTATATTAAAATTAAACACATCAAAAAGTTTATTTTTTAATAATTAATATAAAAAGGATATTTGTGGTGACAGTTTAAATAAATTTACATTGAAGTGGGTGTGTTTTTTCCACTCTTTTATTTTTACAATATGTTGGTTATGAAATGTACTAACAAAAAATAAGAGAGTTAGGAAATACTTCAATTTGTATCCACTCATAGTGTAAAAAATTTTACATTATTAACTAATCAAAATATACTTAAATATGATTATTGTATTAATTATTGCTGATATGATAATTCATAATTGAGTAGTAATGTATAATTTTTCTCACACTATTAATGTAAATTAAAAAATAATAATTCAAGGCTTCATTTCATTGTTTGTAAAACTTGTGACCATGCAATTAGTTAAACTAATTCTTTTTGAGAAAGAGATTATTGAAACGAAAACATATCCTAGTAAAATAAAATAAAATTTTAAGTTGACCAATAAAATCATTTTTAATTCTTTACCATTGTTGGGTCTGAAACATATTGACCTGATATACAAGAATAAAAAAAATAATTTAACGTTGCTTTTGATTTTTTTTATACCAAAAACTTTGTGAACATGCATAAGTCAGACCGTTAAAAATAATTAATATCACGATTCACGATATCTACTCTTATTAAGTAATGTTTTAGAATCTCACCGAGCAACAAATTCAACTACGGCTAAATCTGTTGAAAATTGTTAAAAAATAAATACAAAATCTAAGATGTGTCTATACGAATGTTTTGCCTTGGGATACTATAAAAAATCCTTCAATATATATAGATAAAATACACACGATTCATAATATTTTCAGAAAAGAAAAAGAGTGAAAAAGTTAAATGAAATCATAGACCTCTTTTTTAAATTAATACATTATTATAGTTTAAAATATAAGAATAAATATGATGAGATATAACATATAGTCAATGAAAATAAACGAAGTTGATAAAAAAAATTAAATAAATGTGCCATTAAAATAATGTAAAAAATATATTGCAGTTGAAAAAAAATAAATAATGATATTAACTAATTATAATTAATTTCAAAATTTAAATATTGCAGTTTAACATGAAAAGTATATAATTTAGTTGATCTAGCCCTTCATCATCATTCTTTCTTTTAATAAGCAATCACAACTAGTCCTTCCTTCATTTAAATAGCTATAATATCAAATATTCTCCGTTATTTCAGTGTCATATAGTCAAATTTTCAATATATTTTAATTTATTCAATTTTAATAAATTAAAAATAATAATTTATCACAATTATACTAATAAATAATGAATTTTCAAATTTTTTAGAGTTTAATTTTGATACATTGTCAATATAAAATTTTTACATTATCAACTAATTAAAAATTATTATAGATATAATTTCATGACTGGATGATAATGTAAATATTTTTTTACACTATTAATGTATTTTAATTAATTTTTTTATATACATAACTCATTGTTTTACACACCGTAGAACACCCCAGACATATTTCTTTTAGGGCTAAAGGAATGTAGGCTAATGTCTTTAATTACCAGGCCTGGGCTTGGAAAAATGGTAAAGAACTTATATTTCTGCTTTGTTTTTATGTCATTGGGTCAGTATTTTAATTCACGTGACAAGATTTTTAGATAAGGTCCATGAGGGGTAAAGTGAAAATAAATAAATCAATTAAACTTTTTTGCTTGATTAAAACATTATTTATTAACGAAATGATTTTGAACATTCCATTTGATTAAAATTAATTTCCTTCGGAAATAAAAATGTATTATTATTTGTATTTCATGCAATGAACTATAAAAATGATTGAATGGTGAATATTGTATCTTCTAATCTTTAAATATCTTTTTGGAATTTAAATAAATGACTTTCCTAAACAAAATATTTTAGGAAATTAAATAAATCTATATATATATATATATAATAAAAATAATAATTCTATTCTTAAAATTTACAAGGTAATGTGAAAGTTCCAAATATTTGATGCTAATTTAAGTCTTCTATCAATATTCTTTATTTAGTAGAAAAAATATTAAAATAAGTAAAAAAGTCACTCCCTTCGTTTCAGAATGATGTAGCTTAAGATTTTTTTTTTCACAAATATTAAGAATAACAATATATTCACTTCTGTATCTCAATTTCTGTAAATGCACTATTAAACATAGTTATTTACAAAATAGTAAAAAGAAGCACTTATCCACTAGTTTTCTCCAACAGCTTGTGCTCAGAGCATGATAATTTCCAGAAACAAGGCTACAATTTAATGGCAAAAGTTTCAATAACAGTTCCTCCCTGTATTAGAAAAACAAAAGGCTGCCAGACAACATCCAACTTGAAAATTTACTTCTGGGACATGTATAGCCAAAAACAGACAACAAGGAAAATAATAGTATAAAGAAATTAAAAGCAATGACAAAAGAAAAAATAAGTACATACAGTCTACAAAACTAACTTATGGGCTCAGCACTAAGAATACATGTGAACAGCCTCAGTCAATAACAACAGATGAAGATAAATCAAAATCAATCCTCAAATGCTATAAAAGAAAATCTGGAATTACTGGCGTTTGGGAAACCACATTTAAGGGTGAATTTTCTCTTTGATGAGTTTTACGCCTACCATGGCGGTGACTACTCTTTTTCTTCCCCCTCTGATCATGCTCCTCCTCTTCCACAATCTTCTCTTTCCCTCTCTGTCTTCTCACTTTACTATGACCATGACTTTTGCTACTTGAATTTGGGTTTTCAAGGTCAGGTTTTTCGGCATCAACTAGATTTTCTTTCATTTCGGATGGAACATCTGTGGATAGTTTCTTTTTCTCCTTTCGCTTCCTCGATGACTTACTAGAAGGATTACTTTCAGACAAACTCAGTTTGGTTTCACTTCCTAGAAGAACATCTTTTATGGCACCAGACAGAGAATCTTCCCTTGGCTCCGGCCTTTTGACTGAGATCAGTGCTGTCACATCTCCATCATCCAATTTCACCACTACAGGCCTTGGCTTCGTTTGGCTTGTCCTTTTTTTTAGAAGAAGTGATTGCTCTGTCAGCTTGGCAAGCTCTGCAGCTCCGTCATTTATATTACTGTTTGACTTTGGGTCATTTGCGGGAGGATAATCATCTGGAACAATTTCACTCTTCTCTGAAGGAAGATAATATAATCCATGTCGCTTACGGTGTTCCATCAAGGATGTAGATTCATTCAATGGCTCTTCAGTTTTCAATAGATTGAATGAAGAAGCATCTGAAGTAGTGGTAAGGTGAGGACCTCCTATGCAAAATGAACTCGCCGAAGGTAATTCAATATCACCACATATAGCTTGTAAGTCTTCAAGGTTCTCTTTAAGAACTAAACCATCTGGTATAGCGACTCTTCCCTGTGCACTTGTTGAGACTGGACCAAGTTCCACGGTAAAAGCATCACACATCAATTTGATAATGGCTGAAACTTGACTATCTTTATTGTCCATACTGTCCACATTCTGGACTGAATTATCAATTATTTCTGCTTTAATCAACAGAACTAGGGCAAGTATGTTACGTGCTCTCTCAAGGACTTCAACATCCTGGTTTGCTACTAGCGGGCCAAAAACTAATTCGATTCTATTCAATAGGCTTACAATGGATTCAGGCTTTAAATTCTTATTTGCCAATAGAATAGGAGGTGTAAATGTTTGGCCATGAGTGACAACTCTATCTGTGTCAGTTTCAACAGAAAGATCTTCAGAAGATTCAGTTGCATTCCTTGGGTTAAAACCCTCATCCTGTTCATAATTTGAATCTTCACACGTTGCCAATTCAGCACCTGCAGTGTATTTTTTTACAACAAACAACTCAGACTGTCCCCCAGCCAAATTACCAGAAAATGAGGATGCGGCCCCTTCATGTTGCAGAAGGTAACAGTCTAAGCAAAAAATTAAAATTTTAAGAGCAGAATTAATATAAACTGCTCTTATTGATGGTGGCAAGAGACTGGTACGAGGCTGTAGGAGTGCATCCATCAGTTCAAACGGATTGCTTGCAACCTCAACATACTCTCCAGCAACCCAAGCAGCAGCACACAATATCCTATGCAAGTGGACATTACCTAGTAATGCAGGGTCAATCAACAGATCACGAGCAACCCGAACAAGCTGCAATCTAGCATCCTTAACTCTCATGCCGATATCAACGAGCTGAGTCTCAATTTCTTCCCCCCTTTGGCAATTAGGAATTGTCGACATTTCTCCAAGAAGAGAAACATACCAATCAAAGTCAACAACAATCTCATACACATTTCTACAACAAGTGGTTAAAATGGAACCCAAAATCTCATTGCAAAATTCGGGGTCAGACTTCAACGCATAATTGAGCAACACCCCGGAGATTTCCGCAACATTGCTCTCAGACACCATGGCCATCAACAGGCGGAGAGACTCAATTTTGATATTAAAATCCTCATCACTCAACGCCTTAATCACGGCTTCCTTATTCTCCAAGACCGCCCACAAGTGCTTGGGCACAGCAACTGAAAGTGCATGCAGCCCAAGATACCTAAGATTAGGATCCTCATCAACCAACAACTCCCTAACCTTTGAAACCGCAAGCTTAACAGCAGATTCATAATCACTCAAGCTAGTGAGCACAGTCCTAACACACTCAAAAATCAATGACTTCGCTCCAGATCTCCTCATATGCTCACAAACAGGTTCAACAATCCTCTTCCCCAACCTCGGTTCCAATGGAGCCAACTTACCAAATATCTTCAACACCTTAATCAAAATCCAATTATTCTTAGAATCAACCAAAATTCTATAAAACTCCGGCGCCAACGGAAGATACGACTTAGGATCCTTACAAGCCATTTCGCAAAAAACCCCAATGACCGCAGTCACAATCTGAGGATCAGAACTTTCAAGATTCTCCACCAAGCGCTTGAAGCAAACCCTAACAGAATCAGGATACTTATCGAAGACCCTCAAAACGACGGCAATAGCCTTCTTCCTAACGAAAACCCTAGCAGTAGAGAGCAATTTGAAAACCTCGGGAGTCAAATCCCTAGCGAGATCGAGAGTGGCAATTCGAGACAAGCAATCAAGCGCGAGGCCTACCTCGAAGTCGTTGGTGGAAGAGAGGTCCTTACGGAGCTGATTGGTTATGAGGAGAAGAACGGGGGTGTGGTCGTTGAAGGATTGGGAAGCGGCGTGGTAACCGATCCTCTTGTGCGCGAAGCGCGAAGAGGACATCACCTCCACCACGTGGAAGCACGCCCACGACATGTCGACGCCGTAGACGGCGGAGAGATAGGAGAGTTTTTGAAGAGCGGTGGATTTTGTTTGCTGATCGGTGGATTTGATCTCGCGGCGGATCTCCTCCGTGGCCTTGGAGATGAAGGTGGATTCTCCGATCAGTTGGAGACGCATGCCTTTGATTATATCTTCCAGCGTCCGTTGGAACAGGTTCTCCATAATCGAAGACCCTGCCATTGGTGCTCCCCCTCAATCAACGATGATCCTAAGAGTCTCCGTCTGAACTTGAAATGAAACAATCTTGCTAGAGGAGGAAGGAGGGGATTCGAAATGGGCTCAACTGTTGGGCCCAAGCTTCCCAAGACCAATGGGCTTCTAAACAATTGCCCACACAGATTTTATTCTACTTAGCCCATCAAAAATAATTATTCGACCACCTTTGACATGATAATTGAGCACTGACTTGTGTTTGTTTTTTCCTTACTTTCTAACCCTTTTTTCACCAATCAAAAATGGAAACCTGTGTCTGCAAGATAAAGCTTAAGCACCCCACCCTAGGTCATGCTTACTGACACTTTTCACTCCTATCCATGTTGATATGACTCTATTTACTTGGTGAAGCAAAAAGGTACCCTTACTTTGGGTCACATAAGTGAGGTTAAATCAGTAGCTATAGTCCCCAACACTCAAAAAATAAAAAGGCCCTGGATATATAAACGGGTCACTCAATAATATTAATTTATTCTAAACAAAATAATAATAATTATAATTTGTCTTCTTACATGTACTAATGCTGCAATGCATTTTTACTGAAGGTGACTTTCCTTTCCTGATGTTAAATAAAATTTAAAGCATGTTGAAACCCAATTTTATGTAGAATTATGCTCATGTTTTAATGGATTTAAATGTAAGTTTGAATTGAAACCTCTGAATCATTACTACTCCACTTGTGAACAACAAAACATACAAATTCGTTTAGAAATTCCTAGAATCATATATATTTTATCCAAATAACATATCAATTGAGCCTCCCTAAAGATGGGCATATCATTCTAATCAATTCTCAATCTATTATTAGCCATTAAGATTGCTCGTTGATTTTCATTCTTCGGATCATAATTGTCCACTAACATTTTGACGATTGAATAACATTTAATTTCCATCCCTGCTTTATTCAGTGGAGCCTTCTGCTATTTTTTTTTTCTGGGGGATGGAATTTGATATTAATATCGTTACTTGTTTTAGTTCATGTGTTAAAAAAATTACAATTCGATTCTTACATAAAAAATGTTTATAATTTTTTAAAATTTTAATCCGTGTATTCAATAACACTAAAATATAGAAATTTGTATAAAAAGATTGAAATAAAAAAATTTAAAAGTGTGTGAAATAATTTTTTAATTTAACTGAGTATTAATTAATCATTATTCGAGAAATATGGAGGGTCAAAATTTCATGGGATGCAATGGGTGTTCTTTCAGTGGATGCCACCATTGACAACTTGGTTATCCCCAAATGCTGCATAAGTGGGTCTAAATTCTAACAAAAAAGGGAGATGGGGATACAGTGGGAGGGAAGTTAGATACGAAAATGCCCTGAACAATATATGTACTATTATATAAATATATGAGGGTAAAGTTACATAGTTTGGGATTGACTATTGAAGGAACGGATAAGGAATCTCCAACTAAAGTGGGATTAAAATCAAAAAGGTAGAAACCTGTAACCTTAGTGGATCCATTTGGGTAAAAGGACATGTCAATATTTTAATGGCCAGACGTGTGCCATAGCTGTGTCTAATACATGCGTATGTAAAGGAGGAGGAGATAAAGACGATAGTTACGTTCATCTTTCTTTCCTTTTTCTTTTTTTTTCGAATGTTCATCTAATCATTCAATTTAATAAATCCACATCTTTCTTTAAAATCCAACTGCTTTACAAAGCTAACACTAATAATCATATAATATTATAGTAGTTAATAATTAAAATTTATTAAAAAATAATAATACCCTTATAAATAGAGAGAAATATTACTAAGAAAAGTAGAAGGGTTAATTGATTGGGGTGAAGAGGACAAGAAATGTGATGTGGAAGGCGAAGACAGTGTAAAGCTTAGCCGGGCGTGCCTCTGGGAAGCGCCAACAAACTGAATCCACATTGTGTACTCGTGTGTTCATGTGCGCTCGTCAATGCTCATCAAAACCCACCGTTTTATATTTCCTTGATTATGACTTTCCACCTACAAACAAATTCAACTAATGTAATACCCATCTCCTCTTATTCGTTTCTCAATATTCTTCAATTTCTATATGCGCTAAACGCACCTCTACATGCCCACTTCAAATATATCAATTTTGTTGACTACCCTTTTGTTTAATGTCAGTCCCTCCAAATATACACTGCACATTCATGCACACCCGTAATACTGCATTATCTCTCCATATAAATATTCTTATATATATTATTTTTATCACATTAATTATTTAATAATAATTTTATTTTACTTTTTACATATATAAAAAACAAAATTTATTGCGTAAACAACATTTCGTCTCTCTGCCGATTCCAACTTCAAGCCTTTTGAACGACGAGCCATAGACAAATAATAAAATACCACACAACCGTTTCTTTCTTAACAGTTTACGTTTCGTCATTAAATTGGCTATTACTAATGTATGGTCGTTTTTTTAATGTCGCTCACACTCGCAAAAATATTATTTTATTATTAATGATGGTAACACGTCAATTTATTTTAGCCACACTATATAGTTTTTATATTAAGTTATTTTTTCTTGAGAATAAACTATTTTTTAATCATCTTAATTGTTTTTGTGAAATAGCTTTAGATCTTAAAATTTTGAGCCTGTTCACTATATAGCTATAAAAAAAATTTGAAAAATAATATGCAATATTGTTGAGTGCAATGACGATAAAAATTAAATTTAAAATCTATAGTTACTTCCATTGATTTAATTGCACTGTAATATTAGTTTGATACCGCCTACACGCTTTATCCAATATATTATGTTTAAAAATATAATTTGTCAGTGCTGTATTTTAAAGTGATTAATTTTCTTTTTTTTTATATAATATTTTGTCCCTTTAATGATGAGAGGGGATTGAGAACTAGCTGACTATGCGAAAAGTCAGATTACTACACTAACAATCAAACAGCTTGTTTATTGTCCGAAAATTTCTTATTCTTACTGACCGCAAGTTAAATAAAAAAACAAAGATTCTCAAAATGGTGATAAGATAAATTATCTTTAGAAACATGTTAAAACATAATGTCTGGTCACCGTTTTAAGCATTGTTACTATTATTATTATTAATTATCTTTAGAAACATGTTAAAAATTTTATTATTTCTTTAAGCAAATAAATAAAAAGAGAGGTAATGTTAATTATCTCAGTTATTTATTATCATATAAACAAATATTAGTTATTAAGAATATAGTTGTATAAAAAATAATTATTCATTTTTAATAAAATAATAATGAAAAATAAAAAAATTACAAAAGCTTCAAAGTAAAAAAAATGCGGGGGAGTATAATTTCAACTCTAAAGTCAAGTTTAAGTGTAAAAATAGTATCAGGTACAAAAAAATATATTTAGTATATTAAAAATATTAATCAATTAATTAATTGAAATTGATAAAAACAATTATATATAATAAATTTTATTATACTTTAAAAATATTTATAATATTAAATAATTAAATTAATAAGGTATCTATTGAATCACTTGTATGAATGATTAAAGTATGAGTTGTTATAAATAATTATTTCTGATAATAATAATAAATTTTTTTAATATTTATTTTTTAAAATTATAATTTTTATTATATATAAAATTAGCCACAATAAAAAATTATATAACCAATTTTATTAAAAAATAAAAATTTAATACGTTAATATTATTAAATACTATAATTTTTTATAAAATCATTATTTATTTTTTAATTATACATCCTTCTTAAAAAAATAAAATACTAATAAAAAATAAAAATATAAAAATATATAAAAAAATTACACTTAAATATTTTTCAATTTTAATAATCTATTTAAAGTGGGCAGAATCTCAGTAAGTAATTTACATCACATCCACCACGTCTTTTTTTAAATAAAAAAAACTTCGATAAATGCGCATTTATTTTGAGCGAGCGTGAAGTAGAATTATTATCATTTAGCAGCAAATGACATTGTCATCCAACGTGGCATATGTGGCCACCTGGCACAGACCCAGATATATATAATTGGTCCTCCCTCGCACTCGCGCTCGTAGGTTCTCTTTGTTATCGGCGTAACCAAACCAATCTCCTTCTTCATCTCTGCTTCACAATAAAAAGATTTAGAGAGAGAAACAATTTTGCTCTCTCTCTCTAACTACTTTCTCTTTCTGGAAACTTCGTTGCAACCGCAGAGAGAGCTCAGGAAACTCACTAATCTCATAGGAAGAAAACAAAGATGATAAAGTGTTCACGCACTTAGAGACAAGTTTCCCGGAAAATAAGCAGCCAAAGAGAAACAAACAAACATACAAAATAGAAGAAGAAAGTCCGAGAAAATTTAGAAATAGAAAAGCTCATGGAGACGCCGTTAGACGGAGGAGGAGGAGTGGCGGTGCTCTCGAATTCCATCAACAAGGTCGATTCTTCATCGGCTCTATATGGCGGCTTGAAGTGCTCGAAACCGGAGTCGCCTATTTTGATTTTCTTGTTCTTTCACAAAGCGATTCGGAATGAGCTTGACGTGCTGCACCGATTGGCCATGGCATTTGCCACCGGCAATCGCTCGGATATTCAGCCGCTCTCCGAGCGCTACCATTTCCTCAACTCCATGTATAGGCACCACTCCAATGCAGAAGATGAGGTGCAAATCTTGGTTCAACTTTATGTTTTTGGAGTTTGTTCATTGTTGAATTGTTCCCTTGGTGAGACAAACGGGAGTAGAAAATGAAGGTTTTATAGCTGTTGCATTATCAAAGCCGAACCCAAATGGCGCTCTTATTTGTCTATTCTCTCGGTCAAACGATGATGCTCGCTAACTCGCTGGTGTATTTATGTTGCAAGAGGAGCAATTTTGCCTCTCTCTTGTCGATTATTTTTTGTGTACAGAATCAATTTACAGGCTATGCATCTTTCTTAATCTTCTGTTGCCGTTCGTGGAAATAGATGGAAAAAGGAAAAGTAGAACTGTATTATATAGCACTTTTCCTTGGGGTCGAAACTATGTTCGGGTGCCAGAGAGTATTTTAAAATTAAAACAGTGGATATGATTTCCTTAATCACAGTGACGT